CATAGACTACAAGCTGTAATTAAGTTTTTAGGTGCAACTCGTGAACTTTAGTTCTTAGATTTGGGGGCGGATATATAAGCTACCTGTAAGGACATCACAGTAGAGACGTGGGACAGATGCACCACACTGAGGGATTTTTGTCTATTTGTTGAGGGCACATGTTAGACATGAGGTAGATGGCCAGGAGCGTTTGGAAAGCTAACATTACATTTCATCCTTCACAAATTCAGTAGTTCCAAATTTATATTAATTTGTTGTCTTTTTTACTTCTTTATTAGTTAATAACATCTAGTTTTGACTATCGCTCAAGCCTTATTGGACTTACCTGATCACCACCTGCAGAGGGAGTTTGAGCTACTCCTTCAGGCCATAGACAGAGTTCCTGCTCAGAGGACAAAGAGATAAAAAGTCTCATTTGTTTGTACTGCAATTAGTAGTTTGAATTTTCATGTGATATCACTTTATGTATTTGGCATTCAGATTATTATGCTGTACGCTGAAGATGTTATCTTCCTACTGTTTGTCCCTGTGATCTGTTTGTAATTTTTCATGATGAATGCATTCGTATACTTGGCTGCAACCAATTTTCCCTGGTGGAATAATAAAGTTTGACTCGACTTACTAATGATTTTTGAAGCGTCCCAGCGTTTTGAATGACTTTTTACAAGAAAAATAAATAGTGTTGCATTAATACATTAAACTGATGTAATTATTGTTTGAAATACTGTTTCAGAAATTCCAGAAACTAAGAAAAACTGTAAACTGACATTTATATAAGCTTATGTTTATATGACTGCCAACATTATGCAGTTACCTGGATTTATAAACTGGAACAAATTTTTCCACCTTTTTTTTCTGAACAGGCAATAACGAAGGGCAGCCGTGCGCCACTGTAAGACCCCAAAGGGCCAAGATGGCTGCGCCCGGGACAGACGCCGGGCAGTTTGAAAGCTGGCTCAATGATCGTCTGGACTCGCTGGAAGTGGACCGGGAGGTGTACGGGGCCTACATCTTAGGGGTCCTGCAAGAAGAGGAGAGCGACGAGGAGAAACAAGACGCGCTTCAAGGGATTTTATCCGCCTTTCTGGTGAATGTCCGCGGCGCGCGCCCCGCTCAGCCCAGCCACCAGGCTGCTCCGGTGCTGCTGTCTGTCCTGTCTGTCTGCTCTGTCTGCTTAATCTGTCGCTGCTGCCTGTCCTCCTGTGTCTGTCTGCGTCCGCCTGCTCCATGGACTGTCTGCCTCGTTCTGAGTGTCTGTCTGCCTGCTCTGGTCTGTCTGCCCTGTTCTGTGTCCGTCCTGCTGCTCTCTGCGTTTCCTGTCTGCGTCTGCCTGTCGTGTGTCTCTGTCGTGCTGCGCTTGTGTGTGCCCTGTCTGTCTGCTCCGCGCGCTCTCTGTCTCTAGCATCTGCGTCTGTCTGTCTGTCTGTCTCTGTGCGTCGCTGTTCTCTGATCTCATGTGTCTGCTGTCTGCCTGTCTCTGTGTATGGTGTGCTGCTGTGTCTGTCGTGTCTGTCCTGTCTGCCTGTGTCCTGTCTCCGCTGTCGTGTGTGCTCTGCTCGTGCGTGTTTCTGTGCCCTGTCTGCTCTGTCTGAGTCTGTCTCTGTCTCTGTGTCCTTGTCTGTTCTTCCAGGGGGGGGGCGGGGTGCTGTGTGGTGTGTGTGTGTGTCTCCTGTGATCCCTGTCTGTTGCTTCGCCTCGTCTGTCTGTACTCTGTGTCTGTGCCTGCGTGTCTACCTGCGCCTGCTCTGCTCTGTCTGTCTGGTGTCGTCTCTGTGGTTCTGTTCTGTCTTGTCCCCTGTCGTTCTCTCTGTGTCGTCTGCGTATCCTCTGTCTCTCTTTCTGTCTGTCCTGTCTTGTCCCCGAGTGGACAGCTGGCCTGACTATCAGCCTCTGTCATTCTGTCAACGTTAGACTCCCACGCCGGGGTGTTTCCTTAAACAACTGTCACTACGTAGTAATGTAACTTGGGCGATCGGTGCCTGCTAAACCAAACTCCCATTCAAAAATGCTGCGAACGTCTGCGTGAGCAGCCTGGCAGCACCAAGAGACACTCAGCCTGCACTCCAGCTGCCTGTAGAAAGATACGACTACTTTTATCTTACTCCCGGGGAAATCTCAAGCATACAAACATACATTAAACTAAAATTAAAAACCCTGACCTTAAGAACAGAATCAAAAATAACATACAAGATAAGATATAAAGTATTATGTATGTATATAATATATAAAATGAACAGTCATTTTAATACAGTTCCTTAAGGTGTTCGGATCCACGCTGCTGTTTGCCAACGGTACATGTTGTTAATTGGTTAACTAATGATATTATTTATATATTAAGGATAAGCTACCATAATGAGCTTTGACATACTTGTCAGTTTACCAGCTTTTAGCCTGCTAACAGGGAATTACAGCTCACAGGAGTCACATTATACTAAAACTGTTTATGTGCTGCTTTCATATCATCCTTGTGTAATTTGGCATTTGTGCTGAATACTGCCTCTGTATCAGCCTCTGGTAGACAAACCACATATTGGATCACTTCACGTACTGGCTGCTGTGAATGAATCCAGTGGGTGCTGTTGTCTTGTAGTGCCTCATCTCATACTAACAAGCTGTGTTGATGCATGGCCAGTACTTACCTGGTTGGATTGTTGGCTGCTGAGTATGTACAGTTTGAAAGGCTCATTGTATGTAACTGTTACTTGTCCTTTGTGTGCAGGATGAGGACTCTGTGGAAGATGTCTGCAAACAGATCATCATGCAGTGGACAGATTTTTGCAACCGTTCAGCAGCCAAAAGAAACGCTGATGGTATTTATGTAACTTTGATTCATTCACATTCTCAATTTCATTCAAAAAGTTTTAGAGTATAGTTCATCTAAAAGGTCAAATAAATAAAAATGGATCTACTCTTGGGGAATAAGTTATCAAGGTTGCCGGCCTCTGGGCAAATCTTGCAGAACATCCACGTACAGTTGTGCAGAAAATAGTCATTTTTAAAAGGCAACAGGCTCATCAGCTCATTTAAATCTTGACTAAACAGCAAAGACAGCTTGCTTCTGAGTCTGTAATCAATACCAGTTAAACATACAGAGGGATTCGCTCTCTGAGTTTTAAATAGTTTGCTCTGAGTTTGGAGCAGGGTGCAAGACACTTTTGTCTCAGGGAGAGAGATTAACATTTCCTGAAAAAAACTAAACAAAAACAGTTCATGAGACTAAAGAAACTTTTTGAGGAAGTGCTTATGCCAAGAAGTAATTTCCACTGAGTTTGTTTTGTTAGTGTCATTACCGGAAAGAGATTGTTTACTGTGTACATAACCATAAGTATGTGTATACTGTCTGGAGCCTCAAACTCAGATGGCTGCCCTTGTGGCTTCTTCTGTTAATGTACATTCATATTGACAGTGAAAGGCAGCTACTTTTATTGTGTGTTATGTTTTTATTTATAGTTTTGCTGTGTTCTGTCACTCCTTGTCTGTAGCTGAGGTCCAGGCCATCGCCAGTATGATAGAAAAACAAGCTCAGATTGTGGTGAAACACAAAGAGGTGTCCGAGGAGTCGAAGAAAAGGAAAGAAGCCCTCCTTGCTCAATACGGCAACATAACAGACGATGAGGAATATCCTTTCATTTTTAAATCGTGCCGACAGAAATGTTCGTATGTTTCACTTAAATTACCAATGTTTCTTTGACCATGCAGAGAACGTCAGAGGAAGAAAATAAATATTTTATGTCATCATCCAATGAATGTTACGCATTCAGTCATCCTCCTTAAGATGTTCGTTCTTGCCTTGACAAAAGCACTGAAGCTGAAGAAGAGGAGCCACCAAGTGGAAATATCTCTGCTGGAAATGATAAATGTATCCTTTCTAAAGGCCTAATGATCAGAGGCAATTTAAAAATCACATGGAATTCAGTAACTTACTGCAGTACGAATGGATAATGCAATAGTTGCATAACCCTGAATGCACGATATGCTGCTCTATCATTTACACCTCCATAGTGGTAACATGTAGGAATGATAAACTAGGAGAGTACTTTTGCTTTCATCCAGCTGTCCTTTACTGAGAGTGTCAGCCCTGTTTAAGAACACCAACGTGGAAGAGGTGCTGTGCAGACAAAAGCAAAAGCGTGACCAGGCTCGTGAAGATGCACAGAAGAAGAAGGAAGGGGACAAGATGCAGCGAGAGAAGGACAAACTAGCCAAACAAGACAGGAAAGAGAAGGAGAAGAAGCGTACACAAAAAGGTGAACGCAAAAGATAAAACAGAGAGACAAGACACTAACTTTGTATGTGGAAAAAGATTTTGTTACGAGACAAAAATCAAAAACAAGTCATTGCCTCTTTTTAGCTGAACCGCATTGGCACCTTCTGTGTGTGAACATGTATTCATCAGACCCTCCTTGTTCATTTCTTTCTGCAACTCTTTATATGTGTAAAAAAACAACGTACTGGAGCTTGTGCAGGTCCAAAATCAAGATTTCTGTTTTTCTTGGCTACTGATAGGGGCAGATACAGAAAGACGTTGTCTCTGATAGACAGATAGAGGAATGTGATTGAGTCAGATTTATGTCATTTATCAAATATTGGCAGTAAGTCTCTGCCAATGTTGTTTCAGCAAGTGTGAAACATGCTTCAGTTCAGCTTTGACACGGTAACCCCTGAAATGAATGAAGTTTACACCTGAAACACAGTTGATCACAGTAAAAGCAACTTGGTCCACAGTTTCTGCTGTTATCCTCTGTGCCACTGTCTTTCAAATGCCTTTTATTTCTGCACAACCTCCAAGTAAAGTCCAGTGTTCACGTCAAACCTTTGCTTTCTTTTCAGTACTTGCAGTTTTAGTTTTTACAGTCTATGCATTTTGTCTGAGAATGAGAACAAAGGAGTGGTTGCTAAATTATACCTCAAATATATCATGTACCATAATTTGAATGTTTATAATCAGGTTCATCATCTTTTTAAATTAATAAAAAAAACATTTTCAGCTGTTTGGATTGCTTTATTTTTCATCTTTTTTTACAGAACAAGTAACAGGAAAAAACCCACCAACATGAACATTAAAATGAACAACTAAGCTCATATTCACAAAGCATATTCACAGGAGTACTACAGACTGATGCGTCTAGAGAACAGCTACTTGACTCACCCCTCCATTACAAAATGGATACAAGCTTTGGTCCCTAGCTGAACTATCTCACTAAGAAGAATTTTTGGTAACACTATCTGAAAATAATCTGTCAAAGTGTGATTAAGACATCAATATTTAAAACGCTGAACATGTTAAGTTTCAGTATCTTTTGTTACAGTTCAAAAGTTTGACTAAACTGCAGATAAAACAGCTTTCTGATCACACTGTTAACAGAAAAATGATAAAAGATTCAGAAATTAATCGCAACATTTCAGAAAACATTTTATAATTTAGCATTGTACATTTTAAACTACTGATTTAGAGCAACTCTTCAGACTAGACTGCATTCAGAGAATTATTTAACTTGGCCATGTTATATTTCACTGATATGAATGATATTTGTTAATATTATATGTTTCTAATGGAAAATGTGATTAATACATTTAAATTTAAAATATTTAACTTTTTTCCAGACGTTTGAGTGTCTTTGGCACAGTTCAAACCTAGAAAGGGCAGACAGATACAATGTTTTTAAGGTTGCATAAGAAAAACAAGCTGGAACATTTTAGAAAACATTTAAATATTTAGCATGTTCATTTATAACTACTGCTCTTATGATTCTATTATTACTTGGGAATACCCAGAACTGAGGTTCTATTACATTCCAATAAATAAGTAAAACAATGAAAAATTCACTGAAATCTTCCTCATAAATAGTGCCTTTAAATACAACAGTGATGGAGCAAGATTCACGTTAATTTGGAACTGACACTAATTAAATGAAATGAAGTTAAGATTAAGCAGGAAAAGAAATTCCATTTCATGCCACTCCTACACAACAAAAAACAGCCGCCTGAAGCTTCTGGGTGCCAAGAAGTGCAGCCATCATCAAGCTTCAAACTGCTCATCTCATATTCTGCAGTGATCACTGTGTTGCAGGTAAAATGTCACTATACACTTGCAGGTAACATTTGTTTTTCTTTTTTACACCATGTTGCCTATGGGAAATTTATAATCGGGGCATTCTGGCGTGGTTTTTAATTTAATCAAGACCTTTAACTCATGCTTGTTGCCTGCTGAATCATAACTTAAAAGAATATCCCTCGAATGGAGAGGGGCACTGCTTTGCGCCCGTGGCCTCCTTGTTAACATGATGGTCCTGCCCCTTGACAGGTTTTGGTAGTGTCATCTGGAGAGCACACCACAGGGCTGTGCGGAGCTTCCTCGTGGTAGCGGCGAGGTCCTTCAGAGCAATGACCAGCAACAGGGTGTCTGTGACGGAGCACAAGTGAGTTAGCGGCAGCAGTGTTAAAGAGAGAGGAACATACGGCTGCCACTGGAATACGAGTTACCTCTGTCCTCAGTGAAATGAGCTCTCTGCCGCTGGTGTTTGGACATGTTGGCTATCTCCTCCTTGCGTCTCGCTTGGGTGATGCAAATAGCCATATGATTCCTGTTGAGTGCTGTGTGGATGTTGATGTGGAGGGGAGTGTTGTGCAGACACTCCATTCTGTCCAGAAGGCTCGCCACCTGCAACACACCAACAAGAGGGTTGATCCCTTATATTCCCCCCTCAGTCTTGATATTCTATGTACATTACTACAACGAAACAGTGGCAATATTATCTATGCTTCTCCAGGTGTGCTTTTTTGGTTAAAAATGTTATAGTATTATAAAACAAGGCTGATACACTATGTAAGTGTCAAATCTTAATAGTAACTTTGAACTGAACTAAATTATCAACCAAGACCAACAAATACAAAGCTGGATCATGTTAGCTTGCACAGCCTTTAGTGAGATGTTCAGACTGTTAAAATGTGCAGAAAGCTCTGGGAGAGCCACTGCACACAACAACGAATTTATCAAAGATATGAACTCGGGACATTCTTACTTTGAAGACACGGCGCTTATTAATGAGCCGTCACACAAACATAACTGTTTATTTATCAACAAAACATTTCAAATTTAACTGTTTCCTGTATTGTGGTCCGGGATGATGTTCTTTAAGTATATTCAGGGTCTAGGCTGCATTGAGGAGAACCACTTTTCTCTAGACAGAACTAATGGGGGTGCAAAATAAAGCTGCAAATATGACCTTCAGAACATAACAAGGCTGCTGTGACACAAATCATCTGTAGATGGCAGTGTGGAAGCAAATAATTCAGGGGTCTCACCCTTGCTTGTTCTCTCATCTGATTAACAATGAGGTGATCGACTCTTGTGGGGTTTGGTGGAGTTTTGGGGAGGTTAGTGTTGGTCACTGCTGCAGTCCTTTTCCCAGCTAACTTCTTGGTAAGGATGGCCTCTGTCTGAAATAGAAACCAAGAGAGAGAGAACATGACAACCACTGCAAAACAGTTATTTTTCTTCTGTTTTCTAAATTCAGGCTAATAGACAAACCCATAGGTAGCTGAATTAAAATGTTATGATTTGCAGTGCTCGTCTGAACATTTGGTGATAAAATGTTCTATATCTTCTCTTTTCACATTTACTGACTGCTGGAGCCCATTCAGTCAATGGCAGTCAGTTACATATGATAATATCCATTTTCTGTAAGTTTGTTTAATATTTTTATAAACAAATGGCTGGAAATAAAGCAAACCAATCTTGAAAATCACCCTTGGACATCCTGTAACTAGACACAAACAACATTTTGAAAACAAACCCTTTTTCTCTCCTTCTCCAAAAGCCTCCACTGCTCGTAACACTCGTCCAGGTAGACGTAGAGCTGGATCACAGGTCCTCCTTGATTCATCACCATGGACGTCATCATGGCGGAGGCCATGCCGTGATAAGTGCTCTCTCCTCTGCGGCTCATCATGTCACTGACATATGTGTTGAAACCGGCAGACTCATTGGTTGACATCATGTCACCAACGTGTATGCCAGGAGCAGCGCTTTCGTAGGGTAGTGTGGGTCTGGAGCTGAAGTTCGAGTTGTATCTTCTGGGGTCGTTTACAGGATACATGAGAGGCATGTGCTGCTGTGTATTCCCTGTACTGACCATGCTGTTTTCTCCATCAAATCTCTGAGACTGCATGCTCCCCAAGTGGTCAAAGTATGGGTTTTGTGAGAGGGCCTGTTTCTTATCTACCCCTCTCATGTTAGAGACGGTTAGGGGTCTCGTAGAGAAAGCTTCTCCCAGAAAGCCAGACGTGTGCATCCTCTTCTTTTCTCTCTGCATCTGTGGCTTGAACTTGTTGGGTATCTGGCCCTGCTGCATGTGATGCTTTGAATACTGGTTCATATTGACGGGGACGGAAGTGTTCTCTCTGTGCATGCTCATCTTGCTTTGGTATTGATGTGGGAGGTTGTAAGGTGTAGAGAACTGCTTTGGTTGCTGGAAGTACTCTGTGTTTTGAGGGCTGAAACCAGGTAGTTCTTGAAAGGCATCACGCCTAAATGTCTGGTTCCTCGCTCCTCCATTTCGTTCCATTTGAACTGTCCCAAATTCTCCCACCAGCTGTTTTTGGGACTGCATTGCAGGAGCACTTTGTGTTGATGCTGCAGGACTGGTGATTTTCCACTGTTCAACCATGCTGTCTTCGTGGTGCATGCCCACTGACTGCCTTTGCACGTTTGGAAAGTCTCCACGACATAAGCCATCATGCTCACCGGGCATGAACGACTGAAAACTGCTGACCAGTTGGTTAATGTCTTGCGGCACATACTGCTCATTACTGATGGGCTTTGCGCTGCTCTGGATGTAGTGGTCTTCATAATAAGGAGGAAAGCAGGGGCTGTTGGTTTCGCTTTGAGGCCTAAAGACATCACTGAGGTCAGGAAAACTATTCATGGGCAGGTGATTTCCCCTGTCTTTATCAGCTGACGTGTTGTCATATTTGCTTTGCTGGCTCTGTGACTGGTAAGTGTTTCCTGTGTTGGGCATTGGTAGACCTGGTGGCAGTTTCTGAGGACGGAGGGTGTGGCTGTCCCTGTCTCTGTTAGGCAAATTAAAAAGCCACTGCTGATTGGCGGCCAGGCCATTGGACTGTTGACATAACTCTTCGAATTCCCTCTCCGCCGACTGTTCCTGCGCTTTACTTAAAGCCTCGCGGGATACGTAGTTTGGATGAAAAGTGTTATGTTGCATTTTAGCCTCCGATTGAAAATACTGTAGCAGTTCTTCTCTCAGTGTCTTCGGAGACCAGATGGGGTTACATGTAGGCAGGTTCCTAAAAGAAGAATGACTTTTTCATGTTAGCGTATATAAAACACGACATATATGCAATAAATAGATTAAAAACATTAAGATAGAAATTATTATATATAGGGCTGCTCGATTATGGAAAAAATCATAATCACGATTATTTGGGTCAAAATTGAAATCACGATTATTCAAACGATTATTTTTTTTAAACTTCAGAAACGTGCTGCATTTATTGGACATTTGTCAGAAACACTTTCCTTTCCCCTGGTAAGCATTTGGAAGTCTCCCCTCGTTACCTGTTCAAATGAAAAACGTGAGCAGGAGATAGAGCTGCAGCGAGTCTCGCGGACCGCCAGCGACAGTTATAAATAGTTCGGCGCTCCCCGTGACTTCACGTTGTCGCGTACAGGTCGTGAACGGCGAGTCTACGCCGAGCCATGAGCTCTCGTGTGGCAGTGCGTGCTGGCGGGGGAGCGACGGAAATATACGCCAGACCTGTATATAACATGCACAACGAAAATGAAAAAAAAATCGTTTCCCTGACTTTATAGTTTTGAGATCGTTTGGGCCCCAAAAATCGTAATCATGATCAAGTTTTCGATTAATTAGGCAGCCTTAATTATAGACATAATATTTTTGTTTGTTCAATCTGTGCTGCAATTTAAAGCCCATCCTACAATGATGAACGCAATTTAAATCTGGACATTACCCTTGCACCTGTAGTAGCTGTCGCTTGAATGCGCTTCTTCCAAATGTTTGACACCAAGACCCTGTAGATTCCGTCTCCGTCACAATCAGAGTTATCAGTCCGGTTTCCTTTAAAAAGAAGAAAACACGTTCCCTAAAATTGCACTTTCTTTTTCTTTAATAAGCATTCATATTAACAGTATGGCTGACAACTTTGTTTTTTCTTCGCACAATAAAGACTTTTAAAAGTACATTTAACTTACCTCTGAGTAGGCAATATTTCTAAAAACCTATTTGAATCAGACAGCAGTGTGATTGCCTAACACCCCTGCAGTTACACCACCAATGAATAATCACACACTTATCCAGAACAGAGTTCAAACTAAACAAAATACCTGATTTTTAGTGCCGTTCTGGGCACAGATTGAATGAGGCATAAGGATCATCATGAGCAATTGTGAGACCAGGGCAGCGTACGACGCCGTGTCCGTGTTCGTGCAGTGAACACCGGCACTGGAAGAAGGGGCAATGTCATGCTACCCGTTGTTTGCGCCACCCAACGTTAACGCTGGCCTGAAAGATGAAAGAGAGTAAGAGCATGGTTAAGCAAATCTGGAAGGGAAGAAAGAAAAAAAAACCCCTGGCTACTGTATTTTTCTGCAGAAGAAAGAAGACAAATATTACAGGTGCAATGGGAACTAGGATACTGCTGAAACCTAATATAAACACAAGTAGCTAAAAAAATTAAAAACCTGAAATTTAGTTAATTAATCAATTTAGTAGATCATAATTCAGCCAACTATTTTTATAATAAAACAATCAATTCAATGTAAGGATTTGCTGCTATCATTGTAATTGAACATTTATATGACACTATTTTCTGGTAATTTCACAAAGCCAAGTGATTAATCAAGAAATAATCAGCAGATTCAAATCAATAAAGAAGGATAATCCTTTATTCCCCAAAACCCTTAATTGTTTCTGCTATGGATAAAGTTAAGGGATCGCAGGGGCATCATTTTTTCTGTTGGGAGAAAACTATTTAATAGGCAACTTTGATAGATGATTCCACAGGTTTTCCTCCACGAATTGCCCCAAACCCCAAAACCCAGGTGTCCACAGCAGCCGTAAATATGCCAATGTACATATAAAATACCCTAAAATGTACAGTTACCTGACGCTGTATCGTGGGAAAGACTGAGTTTGCAAAATATGCTGTGGGCCGTCAAACCGCCATTCTGAACTCCCTTGAACTTGAGCCTGGTTCTTTAACCTCCAATTGCTGGTCCGGCAAAACACAACACAGCTCACTGTTAAGTAATATATTTTCTTTACATAACTTATATGATAAGAGGTGTGGGCCCAACAGAAAACATTAAAATAGCTCACTAACTGCAGTTCAGGGAAAAAGAAAGAAGAATAACTCACCCTAAGTTAACGTTAAGTTTAGTAGGTTAACTAGCAGTGACGACGCTGGCCTTTCGCTAATTTGGACTAAAACTAAAACTAAACACTGCTTTTCGTCCGGTTTAAATTGCCTAACTTCGCCAAAACAACGCTGTTTCAGGAAGAGAAACAGCGGACAACCTACCTGGTAAGTTAATAACGGGACTTTAACAGTTTTCTGACCGTAACATTATCCTCAAGTGGGTCTCGGTGCCCCCCCCCCCAGCCCGCCGCTGCGCTCGACCCCCTCCCGAGGTTCTGGGAAGCTGAGCGCCGATTGGCCGAGGCCCAGAGGAAGTCTATTTTTTGTCCCAATCAACGTGGCAGAGATCGGAGCGCATACAACGTGTGGCGTCAACCAGTGATGGTATTATATGCCACCCGAAGGAAGATATTTTATATCTTTGATTTATTTGTTATTTATGTCACCAATGTGCTGTTTGTTATTGTATACCTTGTGGTTTATTTATTAAAAAATAAATTTAAATTGTTCAAAAAAAAACAACAACTATACTATACTTATACGATACTTCAGTTTTTATGCTTTTTAGAAACTCGGTTATGTGAACTGACTGTTGTTGGTCGAATCTGTTTCTCCTCTAAAAAAGGATAATAACTGTGGTATACGTGCCTTGTTTTGAAAAGAAGTTGTCTCTGTCGTTTCCCACTGGAATAACCTCTATCCAGACCTAGATTGGAGGAAAATATATGGGTCTGACGTTTAAATACTTTATTTTAAAGATGACCAAAGAAGTGTATTTAAAAAGAATTAATCGCTTTGTTTAGTTAGTCATTTTTGCAAAGATATAAAAAGGACATTAATGTAACGTTTATGTGATTTGTGTTGGTCTTTTTTTTTTTTTGGAAAGATATATGTGCTTTTATTTCCTAGTATATTGTTTCTGCTTTTTCCATTTTATATGAGAATATATGTGTACGTTATTGGCTTTTTATTCTTACCCATCTACCAAAAGAAATCAGTATACAATTCCACATATACAAATCTAAAGTTTACAGTTCTAAACCATCTTTTTCTTTTTCATTTTGAAGGTGAAGTCAAACAATACAATAAATTACTCCCGTACTGTAAAAATAAGACAGCAATCAAAAGTGCATGTGTATTTACCATGTATCATTTATTTAACTGATTTATGATTTCTGTCTGTACCCTGGCATTGTCTGTTCATGTATTGTTTATGTTTGCAAATAAAGTTAAAAAACAAAACAACAACGACATCATAAAACTGTATTAAAATTTAAATGTATACATATCGTCTTATTATTATTATTATTATGATTATTATTATTATTATACAATTCAATTGTGACATACATTTAATTTAAATCAAAATGCCAAACAAAACCATTAGAAATGAATCATCTCATCTTACAGAAACTCAATTTCAGCCCATAAAAGCAAAATAGTGTATTCCATAATGAGTTTCTTACTTATATGAGAACCCTTAAAGTCATAGAAAATAAAAATGCAAATGAGCTTACTATATTTACATATTTGTTCTTTTCTTTTTATATTCTAATATTGTTTGTCTGTTTGGATGTCTGCTTTTTGTATGCACCTGCTATCGGTTTAATGGTCTATGTAAGACTGAGCCATGATGTTTGTACATAGATAATTGTTCAATAAAAAAAAAAGAAAAGAAAAGTCTACTTCCTCCTCTTGAAAGTTTAGTTGGGCCACGCAATCCAGCTGTGGAGTCAAGTTGAACAATATTAGCAGAAATACGTCCATTACGTTACCTTCAAAATAAAAGCATAGATTTTAGCACATACAAAAACCTGATAAACCTTTTGTTTAAATTGGATAGTAGCGATCCCGTCCTCCTCTGATGCATATGATTATGACGCTGTAATTAATTTGTCCTGTAATGTATCATATTGAAACAAAATGGACTGGTTGGATGAATGCAATTTAAATAATATGCATACATTATTATTATTATGATTATTATTATTATTGTTAGGAATTAAAACGAAAATAACTTTAGGGGTTAACATAGGTTCTACTTTTAGTAGTCTTCAGCACCCAATACAATCCTACAAGTAACTCACATTAGTTTATTAGGGTATTATTCTGAAAGCAACTGCCGGAAGTTGTATTTCTCATTATGGCTGACTTGGCAGCGGAGAGGGAATCGGTGTTGTGGAAAAGAAAAAAGTAAGCCAGCAGTGTTCAAACCGGAGACCAAGCACTGAGAGAGCGGCGTCCAGGTCCTCAGCACCACAGCTTTAACTTGTGTAGGTCATCCGGCTCAAGAACTGCTTACAGGACTGAGGATACACCCTGAACCGATTTACAGCAACTTACTCAGGCTCTGGTTGTTGTCTTAAAACTTGGAAAAATGAGTTTTTGCAAGAGCTGGTCTATTGCACTCCTGCTGCCTCTGCTGATATCAGCCCAGTATCAAGGGGACAACGGAATAGTCGTTCCGGAGCACGGATTTTGCCAGCCGATTTCAATACCTTTGTGCACGGACATAGCCTACAACCAAACCATCATGCCAAATTTAGTGGGCCATTACAACCAGGAGGACGCAGGGCTCGAGGTGCACCAGTTTTACCCTCTCGTAAAGGTCCAGTGCTCGCCGGAGTTAAAATTCTTCCTGTGCTCCATGTATGCGCCCGTGTGCACGGTGCTGGAGAAGGCCATCCCTCCGTGCAGGTCCATCTGCGAGAGAGCCAAGCAGGGCTGCGAGGCGCTCATGAACAAGTTCGGCTTCCAGTGGCCGGACCGACTGCGCTGCGAGAACTTCCCTGTGCTGGGAGACGGACAGATCTGTGTGGGCCAGAATGATTCCTCCGCCGCCACCGTGCCACCCATCATGCCCGTCCCGGACGTCCCCATGGTCCCCACGCATGAGAGGCCTTT